AGTCGGTCAAATATTTACAAATACACAGACACACAAATCACATTTAGCATTCCCGTTAATATAACGGTGTGTCAAGATGCACTACTAGGAATGCAAGCGAAGGTCTCCAGTGTAATTCTGCAGCATTAGTAACCACATCTCCTGTTTCGCATGTGTTTCATATATATGTGAAACATCGGGTAAAAATTTACTGCAACTAGGTGCCACAAATTTCCTTTAAAGATCACTTCGTTGTTCTGGTAATCATTCTTATTATTTAGGCATATTACTTACTGTTCCAGCTTCCTAGCTCTATCTTAACTTTTTTAATGCACCCTCATATGATCTAACATCTGTATTGTAACTAAAATATTACGAAGACAGTATATTGCCTGACGCTTTCATCTGTATCTGTTAGCTGTATTAAATAATAAAAATATCTCAAGATTCGTTGATGGGAAATGTTTTACTCACAAACTTCATGGTGGAGTGGATGTGAGGTCGTCTTGTCCGTTATCTGCTGCTGGATGTGAGGTCGTCTTGTCTGTTATGTGCTGCTGGATGTGAGGTCGTCTTGTCTGTTATGTGCTGCTGGATGTGAGGTCGTCTTGTCTGTTATGTGCTGCTGGATGTGAGGTCGTCTTGTCCGTTATCTGCTGCTGGAGTGAGGTCGTCTTGTCCTGTTATGTGCTGCTGGATGTGAGTCGTCTTGTCTGTTATGTGCTGCTGGATGTGAGGTCGTCTTGTCTGTTATGTGTTGCTGGATGTGAGGTCGTCTTGTCTGTTATGTGCTGCTGGGACTCGCCCTCAACATATATATACACCACCAACCTGGTTACAACTGTCTCATGATTGATTATATCACTGTCACTTGTGTCTGGTCACACCCTGTTCGAGCCAGATGCTGGCTTCAGGAATAGAGAGATGGGGAACACTGTTTTAGTTCGTTGTTTTCATGCTGGCAGTGCCCCGAGGGACAGGAGGGTTGAGAGAGAGCCTTCTTCCTTTCTATCCTTGACAGTCCTTAATCTGGATCAAAGTTGGTAATTCTTCTGAGCAAATAACCACGGTGAGGACCTCAATTTTCTGTGCTGTGTTGTGAATGCTTCCTTATACTACCACCTCCATAACTTTCTCTAGTAACAGTAAAATATATAATTTTGTCTGACTTTTTTGGGTTATTCTAGGCAATTTACGCATATGTTATTTATGAACTATAATTTGTGTAACTGTATTTATGTGTACCTTTACCTAAATAAACTTACTTACCTACTTACACTAGCAATAACTTTATAGTTAATGCACACGTGTATAGATAATGTGAGATTATAGAAGACACATAAACAGGTACATGGTGAGGGAGGAGAAAGCTGAGAGACAGTGTCTTCATATGGTTACTTTTCTTGTCGTATATATGTCAACTTGTTGTATATGCGAGTCAGCTGTTGAATGAATGATGGGTAGAGAAGAATGCAACCCCTTACCTTACTCCTCCTCCCTTCCCCCCTTCCCTTCTCCCCTGCTCTCTCTCCTCCCTTCCCCTTTCCCCTCTCCCTTTCTCTCTCTCTCTCCTCCCTTCCCCACTCCCCTATCTCTCTCTCTTTTTCTCCCTTCTCCATTCATTATCCCTTCACCTTTTCTTCTCCCTTCCCCTTCTTCTCCTCTTCACCCTTCCTTCTCCATTTCTCTTTCCTTTCCATTCCCCTCTCCCATTTCTTCTCTCCTTCTTACTCTCCTACTCTTTTCCCCCCTCCTCCTCTTTTCCCTTCTCTTCCTCTCCTTTCTCCTTCTCATCCTCCCTTCCTCCTCCCTTCCCCTTCCCTTTCTTCCTCGCTTTCTCATGTGTCGTCATTTTCTTCTTCATATTAAACATAACAAGACTGTTCCTTAAATCACTTTAACCAAAACTAGCTTATAGTACTTATGTCCTCACCTAGTTGTGTACACCTAGTTGTACTCACCTAGTTGTGTACACCTAGTTTACTCACCTAGTTGTGTACACCTTATACTACCTAGTTGTGTACACCTAGTTATACTCACCTAGTTGTGTACACCTAGTTATACTCACCTAGTTGTGTACACCTAGTTATACTCACCTAGTTGTGTACACCTAGTTATACTCACCTAGTTGTGTACACCATTAAAACTCACCTGTTGGGGTACACCTAGTTATACTTTACCTTGTTGTGTTTCACCTAGTTGTACTCACCTAGTTGTGTACACCTAGTTGTGCTCAACTAGTTGTGTACACCTAGTCGCACCTAGTTGTTTTCACCTAATTGTGTTCCCCTAGTGTACTCACATAGTTGTGCTCACCGAGTTGTACTCACCTAATTGTGCTAACCTAGTTGAATTCAACTAGTTGTGCTCACCTAGTTGTGTTCCCTTAGTTGTGTTCCCCTAGTTGTGTTCCCCTAGTTGTGTTCCCCTAGTTGTGTTCACTTAGTGGTGTTCCCCTAGTTGTGTTCACTTAGTTGTGTTCACCTAGTTGTGTTCACCTAGTTGTGTTCCCCTAGTTGTGATCACCTAGTTGTGTTCACCTAGTTGTGTCAACCCAGTTGTGTTCACCTAGTTGTGTTCACCTAGTTGTGTTCAACTAGTTGTGTTCTCCTAGTTGTGTTCACCTAGTTGTGTTCACCTAGTTGTGTTCACCTAGTTGTGTTCACCTAGTTGTTTCCCCTACTTGTGTTTCACCTATGGTTCACCTAGTTGTGTTCCCTAGTTGTGTTCCCCCTAGTTGTGTTCATCTAGTTTTGTTCACTAGTTGTGGTTCCCTAGTTTGTTTCACTTAGTTGTGTTCACTAGTTGTATTCACCTAGTTTTTGTTCACCTAGTTGTGTTCACGTAGTTGAGTTCACCTAGTTGTGCTCACCTAGTTGTGTTCACATAGTTGTCTTTCCCTAGTTGTGTTCACTTAGTTGTGTTCACCAAGTTGTGTTCACCTAGTTGTGTTCACCTAGTTGTGTTCACATAGTTGTGTTCACCTAGTTGTGTTCGCCTAGTTGTATTCACCTAGTTTGGTCACCTAGTTGTGTTCACTATTGTGTTCACGTAGTTGTGTTCACCTAGTTGTGTTCGCCTAGTTGTATTCACCTAGTTTTGGTCACCTAGTTGTGTTCACCTAGTTGTGTTCACGTAGTTGTGTTCACCTAGTTGTGTTCACCTAGTTGTGTTCACCTAGTTGTGTTCACCTAGTTGTGTTCACCTAGTTGTGTTCACGTAGTTGTGTTCACATAGTTGTGTTCACCTAGTTGTGTTTACCTAGTTGTGTTCACCGCGTTGTGTTCACCTAGTTGTGTTCACCCAGTTGCGTTCACCTAGTTGTGTTCCCTAGTTGTGTTCACCTAGTTGTTTTTCCCTAGTGTTTTTCTTCTAGGTGTTCCCCTAATTTGCCCCATTGTTTCACCTAGTTGTTTTTTCCCTAGTTGTGTTCACCTAGTTGTGTTCACCTAGTTGTGTTCACCTAGTTGTGTTTCCCTAGTTGTTCTCACCTAGTTGTGTTCACCTATTTGTGTTCACCTAGTTGTGCTCACCTAGTTGTGTTTCACTAGTTGTGTTCACCTAGTTGTGTTCACCTAGTTGTGTTCACCTAGTTGTGTTAACCTAGTTGTGTTCACCTAGTTGTGTTCTCCTAGTTGTGTTCACCTAGTTGTTTTTCCTTAGTTGTGTTCACCTAGTTGTGTTCCCCTAGTTGTGTTCACCTAGTTGTGTTCACCGAGTTGTGTTCACCTAGTTGTGTTTCCCTAGTTGTGTTCACCTTGTTGTGTTCACCTAGTTGTCCTCACCTAGTTGTGTTCCATAGTTTTTGTTTCCTAGTTGTGTTTCACCTAGTTGTGTTCACCTAGTTGTGTTCACCTAGTTGTGTTCACCTAGCTGTGTTTCCCTAGTTGTGTTCACCTAGTTGTGTTCACCTAGTTGTGTTCACCTAGTTGTGTTCACCTAGTTGTGTTCACCTAGTTGTGTTCACCTAGTTGTGTTCACGTAGTTGTACTCACCTAGTTGTGTTCACCTAGTTATGTTCCCTTAGTTGTGTTCACGTAGTTGTGTTCACGTAGTTGTGTTCACGTAGTTGTGTTCACGTAGTTGTGTTCACGTACGCTAAGTTGCACGTGTTGTTTCCCTAGTTATGTTCCATTAGTTGTGTTCCCCTATTATTTCCCTTTGTTGTGTTCCCCTAGTTGTGTTCACGTAGTTGTGTTCGCCTAGTTATGTTCCCTTAGTTGTGTTCCCCTAGTTGTGTTCACGTAGTTGTGTTCGCCTAGTTATGTTCCCTTAGTTGTGTTCCCTTAGTTATGTTCCCTTAGTTGTGTTCCCCTAGTTATGTTCCCTTAGTTGTGTTCACGTAGTTGTGTTCACCTAGTTGTGTTCACCTAGTTGTGTTCACCTAGTTGTGTTTCCCTAGTTGTGTTCATCTACTTGTGTTTCCCTAGATGTGTTCACCTAGTTGTGTTTCCCTAGTTGTGTTCACCTAGTTGTGTTCACCTAGTTGTGTTCACCTAGTTGTGTTCACCTAGTTGTGTTCACCTAGTTGTGTTCATCTACTTGTGTTTCCCTAGTTGTGTTCACCTAGTTGTGTTTCCCTAGTTGTGTTTCCCTAGTTGTGTTCACCTAGTTGTGTTTCCCTAGTTGTGTTCACCTAGTTGTGTTCACCTAGTTGTGTTCACCTAGTTGTGTTCACCTAGTTGTGTTCATCTACTTGTGTTTCCCTGGTTGTGTTCACCTAGTTGTGTTTCCCTAGTTGTGCTTCCTAGTTGTTCAACCCCAGTTGTGTTTCCCTAGTTGTGGGTTTACCTAGTTGTGTTCACCTAGTTGTGTTCACCTAGTTGTGTTCACCTAGTTGTGTTCGCCTAGTTGTATTCACCTAGTTGTGTTCACCTAGTTGTGTTCACCTAGTTGTGTTCATCTACTTGCGTTCACCTAGTTGTGTTCACGTAGTTGTGTTCACCTAGTTGTGTTCACCTAGTTGTGTTCACCTAGTTGTGTTCACCTAGTTGTGTTCACGTAGTTGTGTTCACCTAGTTGTGTTCTCCTAGTTGTGTTCACCTAGTTGTGTTCCCCTAATTGTGTTCACCTAGGTGTGTTCACCTCTTTGTGTTCAACTAGTTGTGTTTCCCTAGTTGTGTTCACCTAGTTGTGTTCACCTAGTTGTGTTTCCCTAGTTGTGTTCACCTAGTTGTGTTCACCTAGTTGTGCTCACCTAGTTGTGTTCACCTAGTTGTGCTCACCTAGTTGTGTTTCCCTAGTTGTGTTTCCCTAGTTGTGTTCACCTAGTTGTGTTCACCTAGTTGTGCTCACCTAGTTGTGTTCACCTAGTTGTGCTCACCTAGTTGTGTTCACCTAGTTGTGTTCACCTAGTTATGTTCACCTAGTTGTGTTCTCCTAGTTGTGTTCACCTAGTTGTTTTTCCCTAGTTGTGTTCACCTAGTTGTGCTCACCTAGTTGTGTTCACCTAGTTGTGTTCACCTAGTTGTGTTTCCCTAGTTGTGTTTCCCTAGTTGTGTTCACCTAGTTGTGCTCACCTAGTTGTGTTTCCCTAGTTGTGTTTCCCTAGTTGTGTTCACCTAGTTGTGTTCACCTAGTTGTGTTCACCTAGTTATGTTCACCTAGTTGTGTTCTCCTAGTTGTGTTCACCTAGTTGTTTTCCCTAGTTGTGTTCACCTAGTTGTGTTCCCCTAGTTGTGTTCACCTAGTTGTGTTCACCTAGTTGTGTTCACCTAGTTGTGTTTCCCTAGTTGTGTTCACCTAGTTGTGTTCACCTAGTTGTGTTCACCTAGTTGTGTTCACCTATGTTTCACACTAGTTGTGTTCACCAGTCGTATTTACCGTTGGCATCTGTTGTTTCACCTAGTTGTGTTCACCTAGTTGTGTTCACCTAGTTATGTTCACGTAGTTGTGTTCACCTAGTTGTGTTCACCTAGTTGTGTTCACGTAGTTTTGTTCCCCTAGTTGTGTTCACCTAGTTGTGTTCCCCTAGTTATGTTCCCTTAGTTGTGTTCACCTAGTTGTGTTCGCGTAGTTTTGTTCACCTAGTTGTGCTCACGTAGTTGTGTTCACCTAGTTATGTTCCCTTAGTTGTGTTCACCTAGTTGTGTTCACCTAGTTGTGTCACGTAGTTTGTTCACTATTGTTCCTTATTGTGTTCCCTAGTTGTGCTCACGTAGTTGTGTTCACCTAGTTATGTTCCCTTAGTTGTGTTCACCTAGTTGTGTTCACCTAGTTGTGCTCACGTAGTTGTGTTCACCTAGCTATGTTCCCTTAGTTGTGTTCTCCTAGTTGTGCTCACGTAGTTGTGTTCACCTAGTTATGTTCCTATTGTGTCACCACCCAGTTGTGTTAACTAGTTTGTCACCTAGTTGTGTTCACCTAGTTGTTTCACCTAGTTATGTTCCCTTAGTTTGTTCCCCTAGCTGTGCTCACGTTGTTGTGTTCAACCCATATGTTCCTTTATTGTGTTCACGCTAGTTGTTTCACCTAGTGTGTTCCCAGTTGGTTCAGTATTGTGTTCCCCTTTGTTGTGCTCAGTAGTTGTGTACCACCAACAATATTGGTGAGTACAAGTATCCTCACCAAACGTATCCTCCCCAAACGTACCCACCAAACGATCCTCACCAAAAAGTATCCTCACCAAACGTGTCCTCACCCAAACAAAATTTTTCCCACCAAACTATCCCCACCAAACGATCCCACCAAACGATCCTCACCAAACAACCCTCCCAAACTTTTCCTCACCAAAAGATCCTCACCAAACGTATCCTCACCAAAATATCCTCGCCAAAGATCCCCCACCAAACATCCTCAGCAAACGTATTTTCCCCACCAAACGTTTCCAAACGTATCCTCACCAAAAGTTCCTCACCAAACTATCCCCACCAAACGTATCCCCACCAAAAGATTACCAAATATCTCACCAAGCTACCCCGAAACGTATCCTCACCAAATAACCCCCCAAAACGTATCCTCACCAAACGATTTTAACCAACGTATCCTCACCAAACGTATCCCACCAAACGCATCCTTACCCAAATCCTCACCAAACGTATCCCCACCAAAAAATCCTCACCAAATTTTCCTCACCAAGTATCTCACCCAAAGTATCCTCACAAAATATCCTCACCAAACATACCCACCAAAAGTATCCTCACCAAAAGTACCCCCCACCAAACGTAACCCCATCAACGGTCCTATAAATGTTTGCCAAAGGACAATGTGACTTTTTTTCTTGTATTCATCTCAGTCCTCTCACTGTTCGCCATCTGCAACCGATTCAATCAAATTTTAATGAGAAAACTACTCTTTTGTTCCTGAATTAAAAGTGAACTCTTTAGTCTCATGGTTGGCGTTGAGGTGACCGCACGTGTCTGGAGAATTAATAGTCATTGGTTCTAATTCTCCTTGACGAAGCTGTGTTAGTTACTGATACGGTTTAAGCTGGTTTAAGGAGTATGATCACTTCCCCGTCGCCTTGTCCTATATTCGCCACCTTGTTTGATAAACACACTTCTGGTATAAACCATGGTAATAGCAAACACTAGGACAATTATTTTAGTATTAGGTTAAATGGACACATGTCCAACTAATGAGACATTTCATTGGGTCAACGTTTCGCTCTCCTGGAGCTTTGTCAAGCCGTTATTAATACACGTTTATCCTAAATTCCTAGTGTTTGCTCACGTGTCTTTCTAAACTAAACACGGCTCTAAACATGGAGACAAATGTGGCAAATCCTACAAAGCCGACGAAGGGATATAAATGTAGAGAGGAACTTTACTGAGACGTTTCGCCCGTGAATCAGGATCCTTCAATCAATACACAGTTTTTTAGATTTTGCGGCCGAAGAGGCTAGTTCATTGTGCACCCCATATCCATCCTGTGGACGATAGCGTCAGAGCATATGGATACACAAAAGGCCCGGGAACTTGGCCCCAAAAGGTTAACAGGAGTACGTCTGCAATAGTAATAATAATAATAATAGTAATAATAATAATAATAATAATAATAATAATAATAATAATAATAATAATAATAATAATAATAATAATAATAATAATAATAATTATAACAATCTCTAAAAGCACATGTACAAGGTATACAGGCTTAGCTGACACCAATGGCATACTACTATATAGAAAGCCCCTTGTTAGGCAGAGCATTTCGGTCATTTTGATAAGGACCTGCCTTGTATGGGCCAGTAGACCTTCTGCAGCGTTTCTCCATTCTTATGTTCTTAATTAGGTCAATTTTGTCCCAGGATGTGACCCACACGAGTTGACTAACACCCATTTCACTGCTAGGTGAACAGGGACAGTAGGTGTCTAGGTTTTCACCCTTTCCGGGGATCGAACCACGGACCTCACTGTGTAAGGTGAGTGCGCTACCAATCGAGCTACGGGACTCCTGAAATAAATTATTGCCAACAGTTAAGCCAGAAATTTCTTCTTCAAGAACTGCCTTTGCAAGAGGTTTAAGGAAGGGATTACTTTTGGTGAGCATCTTGGAGAGGCTTTCAGAGATGTGACTGAAAATTGACACAACCTCCATGGAGGGGTGATACGCTTTTGTTATCTACTGAGGTACAGTTCGTGTAGGTTATAAAATTTAATATAAATGCATGTTTTCACAAATAAAGTTGCACTCCTTATGCCTTTTTATGCCTCTAAACTTGTCTTACTTTTTATCTGAATGAATTTGTCTGCAGTAGTATATATCTTGAGAGACTTACACTTTTCGATGTATATACACATCTAAGAGTCTCAACTCCGCATGTATTCTCGCTGTATATATATTCATATCTCACTGTATATATATTCCCTGAGAGACTCCCACCTCTCATTGTACTTCCTCTGAGAAATTTACTTATTCGTATATATACCCCTAAGATATTCTTAGATCTCTAAACATGTATAGATCCCAGAGAAAATAGCGCTTCTCGGTATATATACATCGGAGAGTTTCACACTTATCGCGTATCTCCCAAGTTACATCCCCGAGATGTTCGGAAATAATTTTTCAGAATTAGGGTAAGAAACAAGTGGAATAAGAGCGGACTTTTTTATTTAGCACAACTGGAAATATCAGCAATGTGCTGTAACCACATTCTATATGTTAGTTAAATTGTGAAAACTGAAGCAAGCTATGTGTCTATGTTATATTCCGTCACACGGAGTGTGACAGACAGAGATTAATACTTATACGTAGACGAAGTTAAACATAAAAAGCTTAGGAAAGGTCCGTTGGTTGAAGAGACGTAAAGAAAAGCACGCACTCATTGTCCCTAATACATAGGTATTTTTCTGACTGTGGCGTCTTTGGTATATATGTCACTGCTCACCCGGTACCCTAAGGGGTGTCCGAGGACCCTCCTGCTGAAGCACAACTGACTCAAACAGGGAAAACATAGGGAAGGATTACGCAAATAACTTCAGCCTTGCTGCAGCTGAAACCCGTATGGCGGGGTGTGTGTATATATGTTGTGGAGAAGTCACGGGAGCACACAACAAGCACAGCTGCCTCAGAGCCACTCCAATATGAAGTCTGTAAGTAAATAAGAGTTTCTGTGGTTGCTACTTAAAGGAATACTGTGCAAGAAATGTGCGCGAGTTGTAACAACTATTTTATGTCGGTCTGTACAAATGAAGACGAAAACCTCATCCATGTTTTAATTATTTTAGTGAATTCGAGGAAAATAAATCACGTAATATCAGAGTTATTAAACAAGTAGAAGACTAAAAGTAAAATAATTTCCCTGGCCATGACGAACTGTTTTCACTTGAGTTCAAATATAAAAAAGTCTGAACTTATCGAACACCTAATTAGTCTTTTCAATAACTAAAAATAAATATCGTTTTTGATGAGTAGGAGACAGATGAAGTGATTCCAATTTACAGAATGGGAGATAGGTCCCTACTACGAAATTATCACCCGGTCAACTTTACCTCATTATTAGACCATTCATTAGAATCGATACAATTACATATAATTAGAACCCACCTTGTGAACATAACAGTAATAATGAGTTAGAACACGAACTCAATAGTGCAAAATTGCTTAACAAATTTACTGACTTTTTACTGAGATAAAGAATACGGTGTTTACCTAGATTTCAGTAAGACTTTAAATAGTCTCACGCAGAAGACTGCTGAAGAAAACAGCAGAATCAGGTACCAGGTACTAAGAAGGATCAAGGCGTGGCTAACAAATAGGCAGCAGAGAGCAGTTTTAGGAAATATTTTCATGTCAATAGAGATACATGGGAAAAGCATAACATACAGAAAGGACTAGGAAAAGTTAGGTGTGGCGATTAGGTGCAGAAGTTGGAGAAAGATTCAATTACACGGTTGGCCACTACGATATATATATATTCTTTGCCGAACAATAGTATTGCCAGAGTTTTGGCTAATTGCAGACTTCTTTTGTTATAAACAATAGCATTAGAAGCGTCTTTGTGGACAATTTTTAAACACTTTCAGCCAATGTCTATTAACATATTTATTACTGAACTATATATGTGGTCGTTTACTTGCATTAACAGGCAGTTGCTCCGACATAAATTTAATCACAACTTCTGCAGGGAAAAACAATAATTAATGTTAATACCAACAATATAAAGAATAAGACACACGTGCAACACCTGGGTGTCTTTATTTGAAGACGTTTCTCCATGCGGCTTTTTCAGTTATATATAAAGACGATACATAAAGACAGAATATTAGATAGTAAGTCATTCAGCCTCGCAGACATATAGAAAGAGACAGGAACTAATTACCTCATCTTCATCTGTCTTCGCATATCGTCTCGGTAATGAATTAAAAGAGGCAAGTGTTCAATTCCTCTTCAACAAAGAATTTCATACTTTATTAAGACTGATGGATTGAACACATGACTCCAGACTGAGGGAATGATTACCTTACACTCCACATTTTCTACCGTTCTTTTCTGTATTGGACCGAAGAAGGCATTGGCTGGCAAAACGTTTCCAGATTAAAGATACGCAAATGTTGATAAGTAAGGCACATACATATGCAACAGTTAAGTAACTTTACTACGAAACGTTTTGCCTATACTCTAGGCTTCTTCAGTCGAATACAGAGGATGCAGCAGAAGCAGTAGAAACGTAAAGACGATGCAATCACTCCATTACCGTCGAAGGCGTAATGTTGGACTCATTACATTGTTATTACATCTCTGCTACTTCTGCTGCCTCCTCTATTCCACTGAAGAAGACTACTCTATAGGCGAAACCCTTCGGAATAAAAATACCTAACTGTTGCACATGTGTCATACTTATCAACTTGTCAGTATTGTGTACCATCATAACGTTCATTCCCACATGTTACTTAAGTGTCTCATTTATTAAAGAATTTCACTTCTCTCAGCACTTCTCTCCATTTTGAAGAGTGTTGAGTTCCCCAGGAACAGCTGAAGTGATGACTGATACTTTGATGCTGGATTTTAACAATTAGCATTGATAAAATGGTCAGTGAATTAATAATAATAGCAACATTTTTACTATTTTCTTTCTTTGCTGAAATTCTGTATAACTAAACTGTTCGAGCTCTTTGTAAATTGTAAACTCAGCTTTCCATCTCTCTCTCTCTCTCTCTCTCTCTCTCTCTCTCTCTCTCTCTCTCTCTCTCTCTCTCTCTCTCTCTCTCTCTCTCTCTCTCTCTCTCTCTCTCTCTCTGTCTCTCTCTCTCTCTCTCTCCTCTCTCTCTCTCTCGCTTTCTCTTTCCCTCTCCTTCCAACAGTAGTAGCTGTGGAATCTCTTGCACAACAGATGTCTTCAAGTCTTTTTATATTTCTGTTGTCCATGTACAAGACAGGCGAGAGAGAGAGAGAGAGAGAGAGAGAGAGAGAGAGAGAGAGAGAGAGAGAGAGAGAGAGAGAGAGAGAGAGAGAGAGAGAGATAAAAGGCTTGTGAAATGGAGGAGACATTTTTATCAAGGTATATCAGTGTTAAGACAGTGTTGTTGTTATTGTTCTTGCAGACGTTGCTGTTCGTGGTGTTACTGCTGGCTATGTCTGCCGCCCTCGCAGGTCCAGCGCCTGGCTTCGGCAAGAAGGGTGGTGGCTTTGGTAAATCTGGTGGCTTTGGTGGTTTTGGTGGTTTTGGTGGCTTTGGCGGCCTTGGTGGCTTTGGTGGCTTTGGCAAAAAAGGCGGCGGTGTCTTCCCGGGCAATGGCTTCTTGGGTCCTCCTCCCGTCCAGCCGATCTACCAGGGAAGTCCATGCAGCGGCTTTGGGCGATAGACTGCTCCTTGAGTATTATGTAAAAATTACAAAACTATCTTTCCACAATAAAATATCATCACATTAGTTACATCTGTATTCCCTTGCCTAACAACATTTAACTAACCATCAAAAAAAGCATTTTCCCAGAGTGTGACTCTCACAAGACAAATAAAGGACAACAAGACCGAGGTTACCAAACAATGTCATCCACTCCAATCAAATGAACTGTTACCAGTACTGCGTCATCAACAGACTAACTACAATGCCAGGCATACTTGCCCTCTTAACAATGTGATTCACCTGTTTCCCTTCCCCCTCGAAAACAAACAACTCTTCACCCCTGCCAATCAAACTTCGTTATTTGTATATTGTGAAAACTTTCTATATACACAATGTTCCTTCCTGTACATACCATGTTTGTATTGAATTATCGTGGCAACAATAAACATTTACAGCTTTTCAGAAGTGTGTAATTTTCCTGCTTCAGGAAAAGAATAATCTTTAATCTTTAAATTGTATAGAACAACTCAGAAAATTGATCGTAAATATACATTGTTTGTATGATAGAAGAATGTATTTCATATTTACTAAGAGGATTTCCTTCCTGTTGATATAATACAATGGAACTTTAAAATATTATAAATTTCATGATCAACCAGGCTGTGATGGATATGTGGGGCTGCTGGCCACAACGGCAACAGCCTGGTTGACCAGGCAAGCACCAGACGAGCCTGGTCCATGGCCAGGCTCCGGGAGTAGAAAAATACCGAAGACAGTGAAATAGGTTTAAGACACAATGAAACAGGCTTAAGACACATTGTTTCAGACTATGAAACAGAATTCTTCTCCAGACTGAGGGACTGACAACCTCAAATCTAAATCTCCAAGGGTGATGGACTGATTACATCTCTACTGATCCTGCCTACTTTCTGTACTCGACTGAAGAAGCCTACTGTGTAGGCGAAACGTTTCGGAATAAAGATTCCTAAATGTTGCCTATCTGTCTTACTAACCAGAATAGAATCAGAATAGAACAGAATAATTGATGTTAAACGCTAAACCCGTGTGGGTCATTCAGCGCAAGTCATAGAAGAGGTTTGACCCTCCATCTTCTGAATGCCAGATAGACGCGCCTCCTATTTGTACTCATCTAATTGTACTTAAGACATTAAAGATTATCACATGTGTTGAGACCTCTCATCTATCTGGCATCCTTAGCATCCTAATAAAATAAATCCTAATAAAATATATCCTAATAAAACGTTTCCCAACAAAAAATTGCTGAAGTTGCAAATTTGCTGAAGTTGCAAATGAGTATTTGTTATTCCTGCAGCTCAGTTTCATCCTGACCCTCTATAGGACGCTTGTAAATTAGTTAAGTTTAATTTTTATGACAACTTATTTGGGTTCTTGAGTTAATGCTAACGTCTTCCGGTTATGGTTGACGATGACTTGATTGTACCTGTTTCGAATATTAATTGTCAAGGGTTCGATTCTTCTTGAAGAAGCTATGCTAGTTTCCAACACTGTATAAACTAGCTTCAGAGAGCATGATCACATCCTATTAGCCTGTTCTATCTATCCATCTGGTCTGTAAATATGCTTATAAACACGTTAGATGTACCTCCCGTGTCAATCTGTCTACAGTGGTATATATTCTGAGAGAAACCACGGTACGGGTGGGATTAGAACCCATGGCGAGTGAGTCGTAAAACTCCAGGCCAGTGCCTAAACCACTGGGCAATCGTGTTATTACGGTTTCTTGAGTCATATTCTGAAAGATTCACATCTGTGTATAAATTCACCTGAGGGAATCGTATCTCTCAGTACATATATTCCCTGAGAATTTCATATCTCTTGGTGTATATACCATTGAATGACTAATATCTTGTAAATATACCTCTTGAGAATCTCACACTTCTCGGGATAAATACCCTCGAGGGAGATTTACACGACTCGTTTGTTTCTCGACTAATAGCGCAGAGATGTTAAGAAAAACTTCTTCAGTTTTATTATGGTAAACAAGTGGAAAGAGATGGATGGAGGTAGACTTCATATACAGTTTCAAGAGCAGGAGTGACGGAGTCTAGAAGGCCAGGAACCAGTTAATGCCGGCCAATTTTGGAACCTGCGAGGAGGGGGCCAGGAGATGAGGATCGACCACTGCAAACACAACTCGGTGAGTACACACACACACACACACACACACACACACACACACACACACACACACAACCAAGTGTGCTAGGGGATGGAAGAAGTATAGAAGGCAAAGAACCCAGGAAAATAAGGAGAGCAGTCGTAGAGCCAGAAATAAATATGCACAGGTAAGAAGGGAGGCCCAACGACAATACGAAAATGACATAACAGCGAAAGCCAAATCTGACCCGAAGCTGTTGTACAGCCACATCAGGAGGAAAACAACAGTCAAGGACCAGGTAATCAGGATAAGGAAGGAAGGAAGGAGGAGAGATCGCAAGAAACGACCGAGAAGTATGTGAAGAACTCAACATGAAATTCAAAGAAGTGTTCATAGAGGAGACAGAAGGGACTCCAACAAGAGGGAGAGGTGGGGTACACCACCAAGTGTTGGACACAATACATACAACCGAGGAAGGAGTGATGAGGCTGCTGAGCGAGCTAGACACTTCAAAGGCAATGGGGCCGGATAACATCTCTCCATGGGTCCTGAGAGAGGGTGCAGAAGCGCTATGTGTACCACTAACAACAATATTCAACACATCTATCTAAACAGGGAGACAACCTGAGGTATGGAAGACAGCAAATGTAGTCCCAATTTTTAAAAAAAGAAGACAGGCAAGAAGCACTAAACTATTGACCAGTGTTACTGACATGTATAGTATGCAAAGTCACGGAGAAGATTATCAGGAGAAGAGTGGTGGAACGCCTAGAAAGAAATGAACTTATCAACAACAGCCAACACGGTATCATGGACGGGAATTCCTGTGTCAAAAACCTACTGGAGTTCTATGACAGGTTTACAGCAGTAAGACAAGAGAGAGAGGGGTGGGGAGATTGCATTTTCTTGGACTGTAAGAAGGCGTTTGACACAGTTCCAAACAAGAGATTAGTGCAAAAGCTGGAAGACCAGGCAGGGATAACAGGGAAGGCACTACAATGGAACAGGGAATACCTGTCAGGAAGACAGCAAGGAGTCATGGTACAAGGCGAGGTGTCAGAGTGGACGCCTGTGACGAGTGGGGCTCCACAGGGGTCAGTCCTAGGACCGGTGCTGTTTCTGGTATTTGTGAACGACGAAGGGCTCATGCGAGCAGGGCAAAGCTACTGATCATGGGTGACTTCAATCAGATGGAAATCGATTGGGAGAACTTGGAGCCACATGAGGGCCAAGAAACGTGGAGGGCTAAGATGATGGAGGTGGTACTGGAAAACCTCATGTACCAACACATAAAGGACACTACCAGAGAGAGAGGAGAGGATGAACCAGCGAGACTGGACCTAGTATTCACCTTGAGTAGTGCAGATATTGAGGACATCACTTATGAAAGACCCCTTGGGGTCAGTTATCATGTGGTTCTGAGCTTCGAATACATAGTAGAGTTACAAGTGGAGAGGGAAGCAGGAAGGGCAGGACGAATGAAGCCAAACTACAAGAGAGGGGACTACACAGGCATGGAGAATTTCCTGCACAGGGTTCAGTAGGACAGAGAACTGGCAGGGAAGTCAATAAACGAGATGATGGAATATGTGACAACAATATGCAAGGAAGCTAAGAAGAGGTTTGTACCCAAGGGTAACAGGAATAATGAAAAAGCCAGGATGAGCCCATGGTTCACCCAAAGGTGCAGGGAGGCCAAAATCAAGTGTGCTAGAAAATGGAAGAAGCACAGAAGGCGAAGGACCCAGGAGAATAAGGACAGCAGTTATAGAGCCAGAAATGAATATGCACAGGTAAGAGCGGAGGCTCAGAGACAATACAAGAATGACATAGCAGCAAAAGTCAAATCTGAGCCAAAGCTGTTGTACAGCCACATCAGGAGGAAAACAACAGTCAAGGATCAGGTAATCGAGTTGTGGAAAGGAGGGAAGGTCACAAGAAATGTGAGGAGCTCAACATGAGATTCAAAGAAGTGTTCACAGAGGAAACAGAAGGGCCTCCACAAAGACGGAGAGGTGGGGTACACCATCAAGTGTTGGACACAATACATGCAACTGAAGAAGAAGTGAAGTGGCTGCTAAGTGAGCTAGATACCTCAAAGGCGATGGGGCCCGATACATCTCTCCATGGTTACTGAGAGAGGGAGCAGAGGCACTATATATAACACTAACAACAATCTTTAACACATCTATCGAAACAGGACGACTACCTGAAGTATGGAAGACAGCACATGTAGTCCCAATTTTTAAAAAAATGAGACAGACATGAAGAACTAAACTACAGACCAGTGCCACTGACGTGTATAGTATGCAAAGTCATGGAGAAGATTGTCAGGAGAAGAGTGGTGGAACACCTAGAAAGGAGCTTATCAACGACAGCCAGCACGGTTTCAGGGACGGGAAATCCTGTGTCAAAAACCTACTGGAGTTCTATGACAAGGTGACAGCAGTAAGACAAGAGAGAGAGAGGTGGGGAGATTGCATTTTCTTGGACTGTAAGGCGTTTGACACATTTCCACACAAGAGATTAGTACAAAAGCTGGAGAACCAGGCAGGGATAACAAGGAAGGCACTACAATGGATCAGGGAATACCTGTCAGGAAGACAACAGCGAGTCATGGTACGTGGCGAGGTGTCATAGTGGGCGTCTGTAACGAGCGGGGTGCCACAAGGGTCAGTCCGAGGAACGGTGCTGTTTCCGGTATTTGTGAACGACGTGAGAGAAGGAATAGACTCTGAAGTGTCTCTGTTTGCAGATGATGTGAAGTTGATGAGAAGAATTCAATCGGACGAGGATCAAGCAGAACTACAAAGGTACCTGAACAGGCTGCAGGCCTGGTCCTGGAGTTCAACCCCACCAAGTGTAAAGTTATGATGATTGGGGAAGGCAAAGAAGACCACAGACGGAGTACAGTCTAGGGGGCCAGAGACTATAAACCTCACTCAAGGAAAAGGATTTTGGGGTGAGTATAACACTGGGAACATCTCCTGAGGCGTACATCAACCAAATAACTACTGCAGCATACTGGCGCCTGACAAACCTAAGAACAGCATTCCGACATCTTAATAAGGAATCATTCAGGACCCTGTACACTGTGTACGTTAGGCCCATATTGGACTATGCAGAGCCAGTCTGGAACCCACACCTAGCCAAGCATGTAAGGAAACTGTAGAAAGTGCAAAGGTTTGCAACAAAACTAGTCCCGGAGCTAAGGGTATGTCCTACGAGGAGAGGTTAAGGGAAATCAACCTGACGACACTGGAAGACAGGAAAGATAGGGGGATATGATAACGACATATAAAATATTGAGAGGAATCGACAAGGTGGACAAAAACAGGATGGTCCAGAGATGGGACACAGCAACAAGAGGTCACAGTTGGAAGTTGAAGACTCAGATGAATCATAGGGATGTTAGGAAGTATTTCTTCAGCCTTAGAGTTGTCAGGAAGTTCAATAGTCTGGGAAGTGATGTAGTGGAGGCAGGATCCCTACATAGTTTTAAGAAGAGGTATGATATAAAGCTCATGGGGTGGAAAGAGTGACCGAGTAGGGGCCAGTAAAGAGGCGGGGCCAGGAGCTATGAATCGACTCCTGCAACCACAACTAGGTGAGTACACATACCTACAGATCCACATACCTGTGGGTACAAGGATAGACTATTTGGTATGTGAACTACAGGACGGAAAGAACGTAGGTGGAAGCTGAAAACACAGATGAGCCAATGAGATTCTTCAGTCTTGGGATGATTAACAAGTAGATTGAGCTGAATCGGGTGGTGATTAAAGCAAACTGCATACGTAAGTTCAATAACAGGTATGAAAGATCTCCAGAGGCTAGAAACCAGAAATTGGTGGCCATTTTTCGAACTACAGGAAGGGGCCAGGAGCTGAGTCTAGACATATACAAATGCAAGTGGGTATACAAAAACAGCTCTACGTAATTATTACAAATTTTTTGCCCACCTCTGTAGAGATCACTTCCCTTTAGCATTAATCAAGGTTGAAAATCAGTCAACAAATACGTGGACAGTGAATCACAATTAGTATCATGAAGACTGTTACCACTGATTATATGATGTGGGACAATTAAAATAAGAGAGAAAACCAGACAGACATAGACAGAAACAGACGGACAGACAAGTACTTACACGGACCGAGAGATTAGTTATATGAACTTAAACCTGACAAAGTTCACTTCGATGAGGAGTTTAGAAAAAGCCCATGTACTTCTTGTTCTCAAAGATTTTTGACGTTTACTTGCTATATAAAAATCTTTCTCCCGTTGGTTGGTCCTCAGTATCAACGTCACAGTTCACCTTCCACATGAAGACATGTCCCTCTACCCTTATATTCATCTACAGTCTTCCTGACACACAACTGGTTCACACAGGGTAAGTACCCGGATGGGTTGCGCATTTAACCTAACCTTGAGATGTCTGGGACCCGGTTGGTAGTGGGTATATATATACCCACTGAGGACTACTCCCAGGACCACACCACAGGCACAACTGCCTCAGATCCACTCCAAAATGAAGTTTGTGAGTAAGAACCAGTGTCTAGGGTTTCCAGTGAAGTTGATAATGAAAATTAATGTAAAGGATTTGTAACTATCATTCCACGTTGGTCTTTTCACAAGAAGATAAAAGTGACAACCACATAATTAGCTTTTTATAGAGAGAAAAAAAAACATATCACGGGCGGGGTTAGAACCCGCGATCAGAGTCTCAAAGCTCCAGTGAACTTGGGGAAAGCGAATTAAGTAATATCGGTTACTAGAGACTTGGTTATTTAACAAACAGACGGATTAAAGTACAATAAGTTTCCGCGTCCCGACGAATTGTTAAGGGTTCTAAAAGAATTTAAGGTGCAAGGTAGTCTTTTAAATATATCATCTCAAACAACTATCCGTCTTTCCTTCCTGATGATATGTGGAAGATTTCTAATGTGATTCTTATCTAAAAAACGGGAGATAAGTCCCGACCAACGCATTGCCTCCTAGGCAGATTGACGTCAATAACTGACAAATTATTCGAACCGATAATAACAGAAATAACTGGTTCTCTGCTACCGGTGGGGAGCAGAGAACCATTTTAACGCAACGTTTCACCCAAGACTAGACTTTATGAAGTATACAAAAAAAGCAAAGGAGCACCGTCAGGTTAAACTTGGAGGTCAGGTCACTGCCAAATCAAGTGTGAGGTCAGTTGTTGGAGAGAATAAGCTATTGGGGTAAAGTGACAAGTTGATTATGTTTAATGAATGATGGACATTGTGGGTAAAAGTTCCGGCCAACATGTACAAATATCATCACATTAGTTGCTTAATGGTTTCCAGGAAGTGGATCGCTGCTTCATCCCGAATTCTGCATTTGGCCTTGTTGTTGTTGTGCTGGAACAGTTGTGCTCTTCACCAGTCCTTGGTGAGAGAAGGAAGTGTGCGATGGACTACGCAAGCGTTGTTACTTTTATCCATCCTTCAGGCATATTAATACTCCTGAAGGCGTGCCTGAATGCCTCTTCCGGTATTCTAAAGGCCGAACTGATTGCAACCGTCACACGATATGCCGTGTGACGGCATACCAGCATAACGTGTGACGGCATACTGGCTTTCGCCATTGCCTACCCAGCGGATATGATTAGAAGCCACTTTGATGAACATAACGAGTCGCCATGAGGAAGAAATGTGTCCATATTCTTTACGAGAATCTTCCTTACGGAATGATGGTTTTATCTTGAGAATAACCAAATATATTATGTTAATAGTTCACGTTATTGTATTGCTTCACATTTATCAGCAGAGTTGTATGACCCACACGGATTTAGCACTTCTTTCTGAATATAATGATAATAATATTAATAAGATTAACAAGAACAACAATAACAACAACAACAACAACAACAACAACAACAACAATAATAATAATAATAATAATAATAATAATAATAATAATAATAATAATAATAATAATAATAATAATAATAATAATAATAATAATAATAATAATAATTTACATTTACGAACATTAAAGTTAACTTTTAATTACTCGGACAACTGAGCTAACTTGCACAGGGCCTTTAATATCCTTTGCAGTCGACCTCAAAGGCTCCATTTTTTCCCAACTTTGTATCATTCGCAAATTTTGCAATTTTAACTTGTATTCCACAAACAGAGATCAATTGTGTAAATTGTGAAAACTTTGCTAAGGAACGACTTCTGAGGAAGTTCACTTGTTACGTTCACTTAGTCATACGCTTATCGTTTTAAAGGCTCAATGTGGCTATTTTGAGAAGTATTACAGATATTACATGTTTAACGAGGAAACTTCGGATGGTGTTTCGATCAGTTTTGAACCATTATCAAGTCCTGTCCTCCCTGGACTATTATCAAGCATTCTAAGTGCAGGTTATTTGTGAATTGTTCCAGCCTCGGTAAGTCACTTTTATTCTACCAAGAAATGTATTTTTCCTCAATGTAGCGCCCATGAGCAGCGACGTATATACAGGGATGACGTATATCACAGTATATATACAGAGATGGCGTATATCACAGTACATATACACAGAGAATTTGTTTTAAATCCTGTTTTATTGATTAACGTGTTTTTGACTGGTAGCCTGTAAGCAAAATGCAGTCTTAATAATCTTAGGGTAAGGTTATTAAGACTGCATTTCAAGGTAACCGACAGACGTGTTGGTTGGTGATTAATTCGTGCTCCTCAACTCTCAGTCTTGTATCTCGTACTGTACTTCTGGATTTCACCCACCAACTATCTGTGACACGTTCTCGAGGTCTCACTGAAAATCGAGGTGAATTACATTTGTGCTGACATTTGAGCTTCGTATTTCTTAACTGAATATTTCTAGAAAAGTTGCTGTGTAAAATAATAATGTTATGATCTTTTTTTCTAATAATTTCTTTTTCATAAAGTTTATAATGCCGATAAATGTGTAAGAGAAACACTTAAGCAAGGTTAATTTTTTAATGCAAACATTTCGCCCTCCAGGGGCTTTATCAGTCCAGAACAGAAACAGAAAGTCAGGTAAAAACTGAGTAGTGTGTAGGTCAGTGGTATTGTGGGTAGGTACTGCGGGCGGCTGCTCAAAATGATTACACATTGAACCATGGTGGTATTGTTGTTGTTCATCTTCCAGACGCTGCTATTCCTGATGTTGCTGCTGGCTGTGTCAGCTGTCCTCGCAGATCCAGCGCCTGGCTTCGGCAAGAAAGGTGGTGGTTTTGGCAAGAAAGGTGGTGGCTATGCTCCTCGCCCCGTCTACCAGCCGGTCTACTACGGATATCCATGCTATGGCTATGGACGATAGACTTGTTCCGCCCACATGATTGATAAAAACTTACATTGTAATGAAAAAAAAATACTGCTTATATTATAAATATTCAAACATGATACAAAAAAGAAAAAAAATCACCAACTCGAACTCACTGAGTAAAACCAAAATATCGTACAGCGGGAGACTACGAACTGATCAGTAATGTTCGCTATATCTGGAAGACCTTCCCCAAGCACTATTAAAAACTATTATAAAAACATTTCCCCTGTGACTTCTTCATTACTCACAGTGTAACTCTTACACGACAAATGATGTATGATAACGCCAAGAATACGAAACAATGAATGCCATTCAATCAAATGAAATTCACTGGCGCATGTGATTGTACAGGTAGAAGATTGTGTGGTATAAACCGTGATAATAGATTCCGACAGGTATTTACAAAATTTGAAAAAAACATTAGCTTTCTTGACACTCAGTCAGGCAAAGCAGCACATACCCAGCAACATAGGAATCACATGACCACATTATCTACCCGTCCTCAACCCAATATGACATTCTTCAGTCCACCATGTACCACTTACACCTCACTCCCCGCCTATATATACTGTCTTTGTAACCTCTGTATGTTAGAAGTGATCAAGGTCCCAGGACCGAAACGTTTTCTAATAAATATGCCCTTATATTTGTTCAAGTGTCTTTCTCAGCCATAAGATTGTGTCACCAAGAGACTGATTTCTGTCCTCATCATGTTTGCTCTCTTAACAGTGTCATTCATCTATTACATTTTTACCATTAGATGAAAACAATTAATCTTCCTGAAGTTTAAATTTATTTCATCACTGTATTCCCCGCTCTAGCCTGTACTTTATACACCACCCTGTACTTTATACATTACTCTGTACTTTATACACCACCCTGTACTTCATACACTACCCTCTACTTCATACACCACCTTGTATTTCATACACCACCTTGTATTTCATACACCACCTTGTATTTCATACACCACCTTGTATTTCATACACCACCTTGTAATCATACACTACCCTATACTTCATTCGCTATCCTGTACTTTATACACCAGTCTATACATCCTACACTACTCTGTACATTCTACTCTAATAGACCCCTGGCTGTCTTCAAGCAGGCACAGGACAGGCGCCTAAAATCGGTACCTTCCCAGCCGGGCTGTGGCTCGTACGTTGGATTGCCTGCAGCCAGCAGTAACAGCCTGGTTGATCAGGCCCTGTTCCACCATGAGGCCTGGTCACAGACCGGGTCGCGGGGGCGTTGACCCCCGGAACTCTCTCCAGGTAAACTTCAGGTAAACATCCTACACTACTCTGTACATCCTACACTACTCTGTACATCCTACACTACTCTGTATATCCTACACTACTCTACATCCTGCACTACTCTGTACATCCTACACTACTCTGTACATCCTACACTGCTCTACATCCTACACTACTCTGTACATCCTACACTACTCTACATCCTGCACTACTCTGTACACCCTACACTACTCTGTACATCTTACACTACTCTACATCCTGCACTACTCTGTACATCCTACACTACTCTACATCCTACACTACTCTGTACATCCTACACTACTCTGTACATCCTACACTACTCTGTACATCCTACACTACTCTACATCCTGCACTACTCTGTACATCCTACACTACTCTGTACATCTTACACTACATCCTGCACTACTCTGTACATCCTACACTACTCTACATCCTACACTACTCTGTACATCCTACACTACTCTGTACATCCTACACTACTCTGTACATCCTGCACTACTCTGTACATCCTACACTACTCTGTACATCTTACACTACTCTACATCCTGCACTACCCTGTACATCCTACACTACTCTACATCCTACACTACTCTGTACATCCTACACTACTCTGTGCATCCTACACTACTCTGTACATCCTACACTACTCTACATCCTGCACTACTCTGTACATCCTACACTACTCTGTACATCTTACACTACTCTACATCCTGCACTACTCTGTACATCCTACACTACTCTACATCCTACACTACTCTACATCCTGCACTACTCTGTATATCCTACACTACTCTGTACATCTTACACTACTCTACATCCTGCACTACTCTGTACATCCTACACTACTCTACATCCTACACTACTCTGTACATCCTACACTACTCTGTACATCCTACACTACTCTGTACATCCTACACTACTCTACATCCTGCACTACTCTGTACAATCTCCAAACTTTAAATTCCAAGGAAAACTTAGAAATAGAATAACTTATCAATAGACCAAAGATTTAACAGCGACACATTGATGAATACGACACATGCGCAACACCTGAGTATCACTCTTAATGACACATATTAACCTATGTCACTTATGTAAATTTTAATCACCACACCAGTCTCTAAAAAAATTACTTTAATACTGGAATTTAACAGAATATACATGATGTTTCAAAGAGAAGGACCCAATTTAAAGGCAATATATATTTAAATCGGGTTAATCTCTTTGAAAAACCCTATACCATGAACAACCTCAGTGAAAATTATGAACTATATCAGCAATGATTAAAATATCTCCCGCGCCCAGATCCTGTTCTTTATTGACTGTTGTGTGAACCACACGCCAATAACGTGAGTTGTGTGAACCACACGCCAATAACGTATGCTGTGTGAACCACACGCCAATAACGTGTGTTGTGTGAACCACACGCCAATAACGTATGTTGTGTGAACCACACGCCAATAACGTATGTTGTGTGAACCACACGCCAATAACGTGTGTTGTGTGAACCACACGCCAATAACGTATGTTGTGTGAACCACACGCCAATAACGTGTGTTGTGTGAACCACACGCCAATAACGTATGTTGTGTGAACCACACGCCAGTAACGTATGTTGTGTGAACCACACGCCAGTAACGTATGTTGTGTGAACCACACGCCAATAACGTGTGTTGTGTGAACCACACGCCAATAACGTGTGTTGTGTGAACCACACGCCAATAACGTATGCTGTGTGAACCACACGCCAATAGCGTGTGTTGTGTGAACCACACGCCAATAACGTATGTTGTGTGAACCACACGCCAGTACGTATGTTGTGTGACCACACGCAAGTACGCATGTTGTGTGAACCACACGCCAATAACGCATGTTGTGTGAACCACACGCCAATAACGCATGTTGTGTGAACCACACGCCAATAACGTATGTTGTGTGAACCACACGCCAATAACGTATGTTGTGTGAACCACACGCCAATAACGTATGTTTTTGTGTGTGAATACGATATGAAGACCATAAACAATGTCGCCTCACTCCTACAAATATTTTAATGACACATGAAACTCTTATGCAGATCGAAGGAGAGAATTATTATAACTGTGCGTGGCTGTGTATTGTTCCAGCCAGGGTATTGTGTATTGTTCCAGCCAGGGTATTGTGTATTGTTCCAGCCAGGGTATTGTGTATTGTTCCAGCCAGGGTATTGTGTATTGTTCCAACCAGGGTATTGTGTATTGTTCCAGCCAGGGTATTGTGTATTGTTCCAGCCAAGGTATTGTGTATTGTTCCAGCCAGGGTATTGTGTATTGTTCCAGCCAAGGTATTGTGTATTGTTCCAGCCAGGGTATTGTGTATTGTTCCAAGCCAGGTATTGTGTATTGTTCCAGCCAGGGTATTGTGTATTGTTCCAGCCAGGGTATTGTGTATTGTTCCAGCCAGGGTATTGTGTATTGTTCCAGCCAGGGTATTGTGTATTGTTCCAACCAGGGTATTGTGTATTGTTCCAGCTAGGGTATTGTGTATTGTTCCACCAGGGTATTGTGTATTGTTCCAGCCAGGGTATTGTGTATTGTTCCAAGCCAGGGTATTGTGTATTGTTCCAGCCAGGGTATTGTGTATTGTTCCAACCAGGGTATTGTGTATTGTTCCAGCCAGGGTATTGTGTATTGTTCTAGCCAGAGTATTGTGTAATGTTCCAGCCAGGGTATTGTGTATTGTTCTAGCCAGAGTATTGTGTAATGTTCCAGCCAGGGTATTGTGTATTGTTCCAGCCAGGGTATTGTGTATTGTTCCAGCCAAGATATTGTGTATTGTTCCAGCCAGGGTATTGTGTATTGTTCCAGCCAGGGTATTTGTATTGTTCCAGCCAAATATTGGTATTGTCAGTCAGGTATTGTTATTCCATCCCGGTATTGTGTATTGTTCCAGCCAAGGTATTGTGTATTGTTCCAGCCATGGTATTGTGTATTGTTCCAGCCAGGGTATTGTGTATTGTTCCAGCCAAGGTATTGTGTATTGTTCCAGCCAGGGTATTGTGTATTGTTCCAGCCAAGAGTATTGTGTATGTTCCAGCCAGGGTATTGTGTATTGTTCAGCCAAGTATTGTGTAATGTTCCAGCCAAGGTATTGTGATTGTTCCAGCCAGGGTATTGTGTATTGTTCCAGCCAAGGTATTGTGTATTGTTCCACCCAGGACATTGTGTATTGTTCCAACCTGGGTATTGTGTATTGTTCCAGCCAAGGTATTGTGTATTGTTCCAGCCAGGATATTGTGTATTTTTCCAGTCAAGGTATTGTGTATTGTTCTAGCCAGAGTATTGTGTAATGTTCCAGCCAGGGTATTGTGTATTGTTCCAGCCAGGGTATTGTGCATTGTTCCAGCCAAGGTATTGTGTATTGTTCCAGCCAGGGTATTGTGTATTGTTCCAGCCAGGGTATTGCGTATTGTTCCAGCCAGGGTATTGTGTATTGTTCCAGCCAGGGTATTTGTATTGTTCCAACCAAATTATTGTGTATTGTTCCAGTCAAGGTATTGTGTATTGTTCCATCCCTCGTATTGTGTATTGTTCCAGCCATGGTATTGTGTATTGTTCCAGTCAAGGTATTGTGTAATGTTCCAGCCAAGGTAGTGTGTATTGTTCCAGCCAGGGTATTGTGCATTGTTCCAGCCAAGATATTGTGTATTGCTCCAGTCAGGGTATTGTGTATTGTTCCATCCACGGTATTGTGTATTGTTCCATCCTTGGTAATGTGTATTGTTCCAGCCATGGTATTGTGTATTGTTTTAGCCACGGTATTGTGTATTATTCCAGCCAAGATACTGTGTATTGTTTCAGCCACGGTATGGTGTATTGTTCCAGGCACTGTACTGTGTATTGTCACAGCCACGGTATTGTGTGTGTTGTTCCGGTCACGGTATTGTATACTGTGAACGGTTCTGACCACAAAACTGTGTGTTTGTTGTGATCTGTTCTACCCACGGTTTTATGTGTTAGTTGCGAATGTTGCATCTAATGCCGAGTCTTTTGCTTTTTATGGGAACTGATTTTCATGTGCAAGTTTGTTACTTATCCCTCTAGGATTTTCCAAGTGTATATTATCATGTATCTCTCTCGCCTGCGTTATAAGGAATACAAATCAAGGGACTTTACCCGTTCCCAGTAATTTAGGTGCCTTATCGTACTTATGTGTGCCGTGAAAGTTCTTTGTACACTCTCCAGGTCAACAATTTCGCCTACCTTGAAGGGGGCAGTTAGTGTACAGCAGTATTCCAGCATAGAGAGAACAAGCGATCTGAAGAGAATCATCAGAGGCTTGGCGTCCCTAGTTTTGAAGATTCTCATTATCCATCCTATCATTTTTCTAGCAGATGCGGTAGATATACTGTTGTGGTCTTTGAAGACGAGATCCTCTGACATTATCACTCCCAGGTCTTTCATTACTTTTTCGCTCTATTCTGCGATTAGAGTAATCGAAATTTCTCTTCACTGAACTTCATATTGTTTTGAGTGGCCCATTTGATGATTTGGTTGATGTCCGCTTGGAGTCTTGAGGTGTCTTCGTTGGAGGTCACGGTCATGGCAATTCGGGTGTCATCCGCAAAGGAAGACACGGAGCTATGGCTATGTCAGATATGAGGATGAGGAATAGGATGAGAGGGAGTACTGTGCCTTGTGGCACAAAATTTTTCACCGTAGCTGCCTCGGACTTGACTCTGTTTACCATTACTCTTTGTGTTCTATTTGTTAAGAAGTTATAGATCCATTTACCAACTTTTCCTTTACCACGCATTTTGTGCGCTATTACACCGTGGTCGCACTTGTCGAAGGCTTTTGCGAAGTCTGTGTATACTATTTCTGCATTTTGTTTATCCTCTATAGTATCCAAAACAGTAGTTGGGACAGGCAGGAGCGACCTGCTCTAAACCCGTGTTGCCCTGGGTTGTGTAACTGATAGGTATCTAGGTGGTTGACGATCTTGCTTCTTAGAACCCTTTCAAAGATTTTTATATGGGATGTTAATGCTATTGGTCTATAGTTCTTTGCAACTGATTTACTGCCACCTTTGCAGAGTGGGGCTGTATGTATAATGTAGTGTAATGTATAATTAACGAGGCGAATAGAAACTAAAGAGTGCAAGTTAGGGATACAAATGAACCTGTAGAAATTGCCGGACTGGTCAGGCAAGTGGGAAGGGGGAAGATCAGAAAATGAACTTAAATTCGGTGGATGGAGACTGTAATTCCGAGAATATCTCCTGAGGTGCACATCAGCTAAATAACCTCTTGGTGAATGAAAGATTAGCTTTCAGGAATTTCAACAAACATGTGTGAGGCCCATCATAGAGTATTAAGCACCAGCAAGGATCCCACTGTTGATAAAAGTGTGAAAGTGAAGAGGTTTGCAATGAGACTATTTTCAGAGCTTAGGAAAATAAACAGACAGACAGACACACACACACACACACACACACACACACACACACACACACACACACACACACACACACACAGGGACAGGGAGGCAACAACGAGTCATGGTACGTAATGATGTATCACAGTGGGCACCTGTGACGAGCGGGGTCCCACAGGGGTCGGTCCTAGGACCAGTGCTATTTTTGGTATATGTGAACGACATGACGGAAGGGTTAGACTCAGAAGTGTCCCTGTTTGCAGATGATGTGAAGTTAATGAGGAGAATTAAATCTGATGAGGACCAGGCAGGACTTCAAAGAGACCTGGACAGACTGGACACCTGGTCCAGCAAATGGCTTCTCGAATTTAATCCTGCCAAATGCAAAGTCATGAAGATAGGGGAAGGGCACAGAAGACCACAGACAGAGTATAGGCTAGGTGGCCAAAGACTGCAAACCTCACTCAAGGAGAAAGATCTTGGGGTGAGTATAACACCGAGCATGTCTCCGGAAGCACACATCAATCAGATAACTGCTGCAGCATATGGGCGCCTGGCAAACCTGAGAACAGCATTCCGATACCTTAGTAAGGAATCATTCAAGACACTGTACACCGTGTATGTCAGGCCCATACTGGAGTATGCAGCACCTGTTTGGAACCCGCACTTGATAAAGCACGTCAAGAAACTAGAGAAAGTACAAAGGTTTGCAACAAGGTTAGTTCCAGAGCTAAGGGGAATGTCCTATGAAGAAAGATTAAGGGAAATCGGCCTGACGACACTGGAGGACAGGAGGGTCAGGGGAGACATGATAACGACATATAAAATACTGCGTGGAATAGACAAGGTGGACAAGGACAGGATGTTCCAGGGAGGGGACACAGAAACAAGAGGCCACAATTGGAAGTTGAAGACACAAATGAGTCAGAGAGATAGTAGGAAGTATTTCTTCAGTCATAGAGTTGTAAGGCAGTGGAATAGCCTAGAAAATGACGTAGTGGAGGCAGGAACCATACACAGTTTTAAGACGAGGTTTGATAAAGCTCATGGAGCGGGGAGAGAGGGCCTAGTAGCAACCGGTGAAGAGGCGGGGCCAGGAGCTAGGACTCGACCCCTGCAACCACAAATAGGTGAGTACACACACACACACACACACACACACACACACACACACACACACACGCACACACACACACACACACACACACACACACACACACACACACACACACACACACACACACACACACACACACACACACACACGCACACACACACACATACACACATACACACATGAAACACTAAAGTGCAAATAATTAGCTCATCGAAAAGTTCCAAATAAGGTCATAGTTTAATAATATCGGGATTGGTGGAACACCTTGACGGACTCCTGTGACTCGAGCACTGACTCCTGCATGGTAACTCTTGTCGTAGACACCAAGTAGTAACATGGACCAGTAAAGGTATATTACATGTCTTGACTGCATGAAGGCCTTTGTCACAGTGCTGCACAGAATACTGATACACACACACACACACACACTAGAAAGTATGTCAGAGTAGCGATGGAAGGTCACCGGCATTAACGACCATTCGTTGTTTGCATCCTGATTACTGATTGCCTCGCCATCTTATTATTACTGTGTATATCTGAACCTTTGCTTTCTACAACAATGTACAAGCAGAAACTCTATCTTTTACAGATATTTAAATCTTGAGCCTTTTCTTTGTACAGCTTTGTATTTCTTCAAGGTATACTTTCTACAGCTACGTATACCCAGATATTTTACTTGCTACAGTCGATGAATACTTAAAGCCTTTAATATGACCAACTATGTATATGTAGAACTTTAACTTCGAAGAGTTATGTATAACCAGATTCTTTAATTTGCTCAGCTATGTATATCAAGAACTTAATTTGTTCAGTTATCATATATACTGAAGTATTATTTGTGCGGTAATCTTGACTACAGACCCCGGCATTTGAAAAGTAATCTTTGACGAGAGAAACCCATTCAAAATTTACTGAAAAACGAGGGCAATGACATCTTTTACACTGTAGATATAAGAGATGTGATTAAAGCCTTTCATCCCCATGTTTGTCTTTAAGCAAAGTCGTCTGCTGGAACAATTCCAGCGGAAGGGCAATGAGATACACAAACTATCCGTTTTCTTTTTTCCTGAACACCGGCCTGATACAGAGAGAGAACTGCCTCTCTCTCCCTCTCTTTCCTTCTTTGCCTTTTGTCAACGTAAACCTTTGTTGTAGGGGCTTCAATTCACCTGGAGGGTGTTTCGGGGATCAGCACCCCCGCAGCCCGCTCCGAGACCAGGCCTCGCGGTGGATCAGGGCCTGATTAACCAGGCCGTTACTGTTGGCCACACTGAAACCGACGTACGAGCCACAGCCCGGCTGGTCAGGTACCGACTTAGGTGTCTGTCCAGTGCCCTCTTCAAGACAGGCAGCGTAAAAAAATTAACTCCTAAAATAGGAATACAATTGACTTTCTTTAAAAAAGAATCAATTGTATAGGCATGCAATATTGAAAATATCTAAAATGGTAGCAAATATAAAATATATATAATATATATATATATATATTATATATATATATATATATATATATATATAATAATTATATATATATATATATATATATATATTATATATATATATATAATATATATATATATATATATATATATTATATATTATATATATATATATATTTATATATAAGCATATCATAAAATGGTGTGCCGAATAGGCAGAAACTTCGATCTTGGCTTAAATACACCGCTCATCTTGCCATATGGGACAAGCGAAAATTTGTGTATGCAATAATTTCGCCAAAATCATTCTGAACCTAACGAATTTTTTTTTATTTCACTGTGTTTGTTTAGTATTAAATTATTGTAAACAAATCTAAAATATATTTAGTTGGGTTAGGCTAAAATAAATTTTTCTTTTTATAATAAGGTTAGGTAAGTTTTCTAAGATTCTTTTGGAGCAAAATTGCAATTTTTTACATTAGCATTAATGGAAAAAATTATGTCTTTAAACGTATAAGAGAAAATTTTAGAAAGGACTTAATTTTAAATGAGTTCTTACTAATTGACCAGTTTTACATATTCGGCACGACATATATGTATATATATATATATATATATATATATATATATATATATATATATATATATATATTATATATATATATATATATATATATATATATATATATATATATATATATATATATATATATATATATTATATATATATTATATATATATATATATATATTATTGTGTGTGTGTGTGTGTGGTGTGTAATAATGAATAATAACTCCGAAAATTAAATTGAATGTCTTTGTTTAACTGACGAAGCTTTAAATATTCCACTGACTGATCTCAAACTACTGTCTCATTGGGCTTTCCAACCACTGACAAGTATAAGCTGACTCGTGACCTTCATTAGAAGATGGCGTTTACCCATGAACACCAAGCTTCATTAACTGAAATAAACAATACTTGAGAAATCACGAAATATGCAGAGCAGCAATGCAGTTGAGCGGAGAGGATGAGCTGACTCCTTCCTTCAGGTTGAGCAGTTGGCGGAGAAGGTGAAGGAACGGTTCAGCAAGTCTGCAGCTGCCCTTATCCTGCTTTATAGTGTTTGTTGTACTAATGAGAGCTATTGATTATTACTGCACTCTGCCTGAGGGACCGACCATCTCTTGACCATCTCCTATCGAAGTTGAGGGACCGATTACCTCATAATTACTTTCACTGTCTCCTGTATTTGACTGAAGAAGTCTGTTGTGCAGGTGAAACTTTTCGGCAATATAAATACCCAGGTGTTGCACACGTGTCTTGGTCATCAATTTTTCGATATTGTATTCATCTGATGTCTTGTGAAATATCTAATCAGGTTACAGCCCACTTCATGAAGTGAGGATGTGAGGCTGGTCTGGTCTCAGCTTACTTCATGAGGTGAAGATGTGAGTCTAGTCTTGCCTCAGCCCACTTCATGAGGTGAAAACGTGGGTTTAGTCTGGCCTCAGTCCACTTCATGTGCTGAAGATGTGAGTCTAGTCTGGCCTCAGCCCACTTCATGAACTGAAGATGTGTTTCTGGTCTTACCTCAGCCCACTTCATGAGGTGAAGATATGAGTTAAGTCTGGTCTCACCCCACTTCATGAGGTGAAGATGTGAGTCTACTCTTGCCTCAGCCCACTTCATGAGCTGAAGATGTGAGACTAGTCTGCCATCAGCCCACTTCATGAGACGAAGATGTGTTTCTAGTCATGCCTCAGCTCACTTCATGAGTTGAAGATGTGAGACTAGTCTTCTTTCAGCCCGCTTCATGAGATGAAGATGTGATTCTAGTCTTGTCTCAGCCCACTTCATGAGCTGAAGATATGACTCTAGTCTGGCCTCAACCCACATCATGAGGAAAAAATGTGAGTCTAGTCTGGCATCAGCCCACTTCATGAGGTGAAGATGTGAATCTAGTCTTGCCTCAGCCCACTTCATGAGATGAAGATGTGAGTCTAGTCTGGCCTCTGCCCACTTCATGAGGTGAGTCTCAGTAGTTGACACTTTTATGAAGTATAGTCAACAGTCTCATTATTTCACTATTTTTTATGAAAACTGTTTAATATCGGGTCAGAATCAGTTCTCTTATTTACTTTTTTATGTAAGAGATAGAGTAAGAGACGAGATTAAAAATAAAACAAGCATATGAATGACCACGGGTGATGTGATGTCGCAAGGTGAACACACCACAGACATTCACAGTTGGGCTTACGTGGTGTAAGCCCAAGCAGTTTAACCTGAAAGGTCGATGTGTGTCTAGGTCACTAGCCTAAAGTTCGTCCCTCCCTCCCTCTCTCTCTGCTCTGTCTGGTTGCGATATCTGGTACCCAGTTGATAGTGTATATATATATGTTGACGACGACTCACTAGAGCACACAACGGACACGCTACCTCTGATCCACTCCAAAATGAAATTTGTGAGTAAACCGCATTTCTGAGGATTGGATATGAAGGTTGACGGATTTTTTTGCACTGTTTTGTGAGATAATCATTACACGTCTGTGACGAGCAAAATACTAGAAGAAAATGAGTGATGTGCTTGTGTATAGTGGATGATACAGTGTTATGAATGACACGACTGTAAAGAACTCGCCGAACGGAGGGTTCGAAGTCCCGTCAGTCCCAGCTCAAAATCTAGCAGACCAATGCGTTGTCCATTGTACCACACCGGCCTAATAAGACTTGCCCAACCAGGTGTGTTTCTACACACAGAGCCCTCCGGTCGGTGAGTTGAATGATGGATTCACAGCAGTGTAAGATAAAGATTGTATTTCCTCTGCAGACGTGGCTTCTTCTGCTGTTCTGCATGGTGGTGACTGTGGTTCTAGCTGCTCCAGACTCCCAGTACGGTGCCCCAGCTCCTCCACCCCAGTACGGTGCCCCAGCTCCTCCACCTCCTCCACCTCCCCCACCGCCCCGATATGGCAGCTACGCTCCTCCGCCTCCCCCACCTCCTCCACCTCCCCCGCCTTCACCGGCTCCCGGGAAGAAAGGCGGTGGCAAGAGAGAAGCTTTCGTCGGCCTATTGAAAACTGTCTTGAAAGCTCTCCTGGGAAAGGGAGGCAGTGGCAAGAAAGCTGCTGCCCCTCCCCCTCCCCCTCCACCACCTCCTCCTCCTCCTCCTCCTCGCTACGGCGGCTACGGCCGGTAGACTGTTTTCTCTTCTTTGTTCATTTTCCTCTGCATTCATCCATCATATTTATCAACATTGTTGACCGTAGTATAAAATGAACTAAACAAAAAGACGAAATAAAACACCGTGAATTATAAAATCTTAAAAGTGTCAGAGATGAAAGTGTAAAATATGTCACTGACCCGAATTCCTTGAGGAAGACCAACACTGTGTACTAATTGTCTGACCATAGATTACGAACTCTCGAACAATGTTCAGTACATCGGGAAGCATTTAACGATGACTTCCCAATTCATTAACACTACATTACCCGTGTGGGCACCAGGCTGGTAGACAACAACCATCCAGGGAGGTGCTGCGGTCCTGTCAAATGAGTGTCAAATAGAAATCTGATGTAGGAGTGCTGATCTTTCTTCCTCTCTTTATCACATAAGATGACAAGTAAATTTTGCGATCTTACATTTGTATTCAGTACATATACATTTATATATATATATATATATATATATATATATATATATATATATATATATATATATATATATATATATATATATATATATATATATATATATATATATATATATATATAAATATATATATATATATATATATATATATATATATATATATATATATATTATTATAATTTATATTTTAATTATATTTATTATACTAAAATTATACTACTATATATATATAATATCTATATATATATATATTTATATATATATATATAACCTTCAACTATCCTCAGTGCTTATCAATAGTTCCTTAACACGATTAATATTTACTTTCACACCTAAGAGACCTTAACCGAGACTAGGAAGTGAGAAAGATAATCCTCAGAACAACTGAGGAATATGTGTCCCCCTGGTCATGGACCGGGTCACGGGGGCATTAACCCCCGGAACACACTCCAGGTATGCTTAGCACCATCAGATATACCTCAGCACCACATAATGTAACTCTCACACCAATAATAATACTAATTATAAAAAAATATGTAATAATCCCACTAAATTAGATATATTGATGATCTTAATTATTAAGGAACATGACTGCGTCATCGGCAGACCACTTTCTCAGTCATACATCTTTTAAATGAGATTTAATTCTATATAATTTTTGTCATCTTACCCAAGCCTAATTGTCTCCACTACCTCCTTCCCTTAACTACAACATTTCATACGATCCATATCACCTGTGCTTTCGTAAACGAAGAAGCAATATGCTTGCTGTTCATGACATTTGATTTAGAAAACATTTCATCCACCAGGAACTTCACCAATTTAGAGTTCCTGAAATGCAACAAGTTGTGGTTAAAGACACGAACAAACATTTATGGCATTTTATTATGGCAACATTTTGGTAATGGGAGCCAAAAAGGGTCCAGGATGAATACTTTTCCATAATCTAAGAAAATGTTCTTTAAGTTTATGTGGCTTCACAACTTGCCGGCATTACATAAATTTTTTTTACACCAGAATACCATTAATTGCATACAAATATTGTTTCTTGTTTACATATTTTCGGTATATATTTTACCACTTATACATATCACTTGCATTTTGTATTCATTTACTGAAATATTCTGTACTTCCCTATACTAGTCAGTAGATAGCAAGTGTACGTAGTAACGTAGAATGAATAATATAATTTACAGAATGTCTGGGTTTTAATCTGTGATATCCCTGCTGTATTAAACATGAATTTATTGTGAGAAAAACATACAGATAAATAGAAAAAAAACTGAGCTCTTTCATGTGCTTAAACACAGGTTTTATTTCTTATTTAACTTTTTTTTTTCATATTTACAATCACGCGTTTTATTGCGATTTCTTCCATGAATCTACTGTGTTGAAAAGATTCATACAGAATTTACTCATACATTCATTTATACTGTTAAACTATTAGAAATTCCTAAAATATCCATTCACAGGGGGTAAATTCAACTTTAAAACAGAATATTTACCAGTGGTCTGTCACTGGAATTGTAGGCTAGTAAGAGTAGTGAGACTGCCAACTAGCATCACTGAAATTACCACACAGAGTTGCTTAAAATAATCGTGAGTGAGAATCGATGGACTGAGTATTCGTGCCTAGCATGGGCCAGGAGGACTACTGCAAGCGGACACGGCGGTTATATACTAGTTTCTATAAGAAATTCTTCAAGTCTAGAAGGGTTTGTACTTCTATATCACTGATCCTGTACTAAACAAAGTATAACACTTAAATTGTACAATGTATTAGTACATTTATTAATGAGACGATTGGAGGGCAAAACGTTTCCTTATAGCTAATACCACTTTGGTGTCTTACATGATGACGCTCACTTTTAAAAGTCTACTTTATGTTATGTTTAGTTTTCTTAGAGATTTCTTCTTGTCTTAATAATTGCACAAATTATATAAAAGTGCGACAGTCTAATAGAAACACTTTTTAAAAATTTCTATTGAATATTTTTCCTATTATCGAGGGGAAGCCACTGGAAAGTCTGCCTGAATACACTGCAACTTAAATAGAGATTCCCTGGTTGTGAATGACATGTGTAACAAAACTGTTTCAACAAAGCTTATTAAACCGTCAATGAACTAAAAATACTTCCTCTAATTAATACAAAAAGAATGACACAACAGAGAGGAGAGAAGGCAGAATGACGAGCATAAATAGCATAATAGAGAGGTTAGGCCGTTCATAAGTCATGGCTTAAAGCTATAATGGGAAGCTAAATACCGCCCATACATCACCCTTTCGGATATAGAGGTACATTATGGAATGAAACGGAATGAAACTCCTATACGATGGGAAAGATACACAAACAACGGAACGAGTGGTATTTGAACTTAGGGCGAGTGTGTTATAAAAATCAAGCCAGTGGTTTACTTACAGAGTGGCCTGGAGTTGTACGACTCACTTACTATGGGTTCAAGCCCTAGCCGTTCCGTGGTTTATTTCGTAACACCAATGTATCTTGGTACTGGTGGAAGTCTTCCGTAAAATTCTTTGTTAAACAGATTAACATGACCTGCTTCCACTCGTGGGTTACGATCACCTATGACGTGAACTCCAGTTGCTTCATCTCACCTCTGCTCTAGTATACAAGGTCCGGCCACCTGCCTAGACGGGTCACCACTTGGAAAAGAGCAGGGCCAGGACCCGTTCTTGCGAACCTACCCATACCTGTACCATCAATAGCATGATAACAAGTTGAGATGAGTGTGTATAGAGATAGAGGTGAGACGAAGATTCATGAGACGTCTGTTGAAGATGAGTTCTTAGGTAGACTGATGACTGGTTGGGCAAATATACGTCTGAGAAGAGGCTGCATTTGAGACAAATCTGTCTAGCACAGGCTAGTATTTAATATCTTTAATATACACCCCATACCCATCCTGTGGGCGGTAGTCCAAAGATCACAGAGGTACATAATGGGTCCAGGGACTGGGCCGCAAAGTTTTGATACCTGAACAAGTTATAGTGGTAATGAAGTATTTACATGTTTATATCAGGTCACAATTATAATGAGTTATTTATGCAGGCATTAATTTGGTCACACACACACACACACACACACACACACACACACACACACACACACACACACACACACACACACACACACACACTCACACACACACACACACACACACTCTCACACTAACTCTAGGACTCGACCCCTGCAACCTCAACTAGGTGAGTACGACTAGGTGAGTACACACACACACACACACACACACACACACACTAGAAAGTATGTCAGAGTAGCGATGGCAGGCTGCTTGCGTTAACGACCATTCGTTGTTTGCATCCTGATTACTGATTGCCTCGCCATCTTATTATTACTGTGTATATCTGAACCTTTGCTTTCTACAACAATGTACAAGCAGAAACTCTATCTTTTACAGATATTTAAATCTTGAGCCTTTTCTTTGTACAGCTTTGTATTTCTTCAAGGTTTACTTTCTACAGCTACGTATACCCAGATATTTTACTTGCTACAGTCGATGAATACTTAAAGCCTTTAATATGACTAACTATGTATATGTAGAACTTTAACTTCGAAGAGTTATGTATAACCAGATTCTTTAATTTGCTCAGCTAGGTACATCAAGAACTTAATTTGTTCAGTTATCATGTATACTGATGGATTATTTGTGCGGTTATCTAGACTACAGACCCCGACATTTGAAAAGTAATCTTTGACGGAGAAACCCATTCAAAATTTACTGAGAAATGAGGATAATCATATCTCTTACACTGTAGATATGAGAGATTTGATTAAAGCCTTTCATCCTCAAGTTTGACTTTCAGCAAAGTCGTCTGCTGGAACAATTCCAGCGGAAGTCCAAGGAGATAGACACGTTATCAGTATTTCTTTCCTTAACATAGGCCTAATCCAGAGAGAAGAACTGATCCTTCCTCCCTCCCCTCCCCTTCTCTCTCTCTGTCCCCATCCCTCCCATACCCTCTTTGCCCTTCCTCAGCGGCTGCTCTTGTTGTAGGGAGTTCAATTCATCTTTTCACTAGCGTAGAAAATAATAATGAACTCCCTAAAATAAGAAACACTTTGTGTTTTGTGTAAATATACAGCGTATGTAAACAACGTGTATATATTGAAAATATTATGAAATGGCCGCCAATATATATTTATTAAGGAATGGAATGATTACTCCGAAAATTAAATTGAATGTCTTTGTTTAACCGACGAAGCTTTAAATATTCCACTGACTGATCTCAAACTACTGTCTCATTGGGCTTTCCAACCACTGACAAGTATAAGCTGACTCGTGACCTTCATTAGAAGATGGCGTTTACCCATGAACACCAAGCTTCATTAACTGAAATAAATAATACTTGAGAAATCACGAAATATGCAGAGCAGCAATGCAGTTGAGCGGAGAGGATGAGCTGACTCCTTCCTTCAGGTTGAGCAGTTGGCGGAGAAGGTGAAGGAACGGTTCAGCAAGTCTGCAGCTGCCCTTATCCTGCTTTATAGTGTTTGTTGTACTAATGAGAGCTATTGATTAGTACTGCACTCTGCCTGAGGGACTGACCATCTCTTGACCATCTCCTATCAAAGTTGAGGGACCGATTACCTCATAATTACTTTCACTGTCTCCTGTATTTGACTGAAGAAGACTGTTGTGCAGGTGAAACTTTTCGGCAATATAAATACCCAGGTGTTGCACACGTGTCTTGGTCATCAATTTTTCGATATTGTATTCATCTGATGTCTTGTGAAATATCTAATCAGGTTACAGCCCACTTCATGAAGTGAGGATGTGAGGCTGGTCTGGTCTCAGCTTACTTCATGAGGTGAAGATGTGAGTCTAGTCTTGCCTCAGCCCACTTCATGAAGTGAGGATGTGAGGCTGGTCTGGTCTCAGCTTACTTTATGAGGTGAAGATGTGAGTCTAGTCTTGCCTCAGCCCACTTCATGAAGTGAGGATGTGAGGCTGGTCTGGTCTCAGCTTACTTTATGAGGTGAAGATGTGAGTCTAGTCTTGCCTCAGCCCACTTCATGAAGTGAGGATGTGAGGCTGGTCTGGTCTCAGCTCACTTCTTGAGGTGAAGATGTGAGTCTCAATGATTGACAATTTTATGAAATAGTCAACTGGCTCATTATTACATTTTTTTTATGAAAACTGTTGAATATTGACCATTCAGTCGTACATGTTCTGTGTTGGGGTGAATGGTCCAGTGTTTAGAGCGTCGTGAATTTGGACTTGCTTCCCACGAGGCTGGCCAAAGTAGCACAGGTTCGATCCCGATTATTTTGCTTTATGGCATTTGCATCAATATCACATGTTTCGTGGTTGCAGTAATATATATATATATATATATGTGTGTGTGTGTGTGTGTGTGTGTGTGTGTTGTGTGTGTGTGTGTGTGTGTGTGTGTGTGTGTGTGTGTGTGTGTGTGTGTGTGTGTGTGTGTGTGTGCGTGTGTGTGTGTGTGCGTGTGAAAGGAATTCGCAAGAGCAGGCGAAATATACAAACGCTGATCTTTGGCCGAAGGAGACTCGAACCTTGTGAATTCCATGCATTGTTAAAATCTCTATTTTGTCGATGCATGCAGGGGATGAGATGAAAAGCTGTAAGCCTTCTCCCTGAAAGCTGGCTGCCTTGGATCAACGTTTAGCGAGAGCTGGGCGCTAAGGTATTGGTCCAGTGTGGTAAGAACGGTAAAGCACTGCGTACCTTGTTCCAAGGTTCGTAGGTTCGAGTCTCCTTCAGCCAGAGATCAGTATATATTATATATATATATATTTTATATATATATATATATATATATATATATATATATATATATATATGATTAAAGAGAGAGAGAGAGAGCGAAAGAGAGATGAGTTTAAAAATAAAACAAGCATACGCAGGGCCATAGTTGATGGGATGACACAAGATGAACACACCACAAACATTCATACTTGGGCTTACGTGCTGTAAAAAAAAAAGTAGCAGTCTAACCTGAAGGGTCGACGTGCGTCTAGGTCAGGAACCGAAAGTTCGTCCCTTGCTCTCTCTCTGCTCTGTCTGGTTGCGACATCTGGTACCCGGTTGATAGTGCATATATATATGTTGAGGACGACTCACAAGAGCACACAACGGACACGCTACCTCTGATCCACTCCAAAATGAAATATGTGAGTAAACAACCGCATTTTTGAGGATTGGATATGAAGGTTGACGGATTTTTTTCTCTTGTTTTGTGAGATAATCATTACACGTCTGTGACGAGCAAAATTCCAGAAGAGAAAGAGTAATGTGCTTGTTTATAGTGGATAACACAGTGTTATGAATGACACGACTGTAAAGAACTCGCCGAATGGAGGGTTCGAACTCCATTCAAGCCAGTTCTAAAACTAGCAGACCAGTGCGTTGTCCATTGTACCACACCGGCCTAATAAGACTTGCCCAACCAGGTGTGTTTCTACACACAGAGCCCTCCGGTCGGTGAGTTGAATGATGGAGATTCACAGCAGTGTAAGATAAAGATTGTATTTCCCCTCAGACGTGGCTTCTTCTGCTGTTCTGCATGGTGGTGACTGTGGTTCTAGCTGCTCCAGACTCCCAGTACGGTGCCCCAGCTCCTCCACCCCAGTACGGTGCCCCAGCTCCTCCACCTCCCCCTCCAATGCATTATGGCAGCTACGCTCCCCCGCCTCCCCCACCTCCTCCACCTGCCCCGCCTTCGCCGGCTCCCGGGAAGAAAGGTGGTGGCAAGGGAGATGAGTTGGTCAGCCTTTTGGGCACTCTGTTGAAAGCACTCTTGGGCAAGAAAGGTGGTGGCAAGAAAGCTGCTGCCCCTGAACCTGCCCCGCCTCCTCCGCCTCCACCTCCTCCTCCTCCTCCTCACTACGGCGGCTATGGCGGCTATGGCGGCTACGGCCGGTAGACTGGAGGTTACCTGGAGGTTATTCCGGGGATCAACGCCCCCGCGGCCCGGTCCATGAGCAGGCCTCCCGGTGGATCAGGGCCTGATCAACTGTTTTCTCCTCATTATTCATTTTCCTCTGCATTCATCCATCATATTTATCAACATTGTTGACCGTAGTATAAAATAAACTAAAGAAAAAGACGAAATAAAACATAGTATATTACAAAATCTTGAAAGTGTCAGAGATGTAAGTGTGAAATATGTCAATGACCCGAATTCCTCGAGGAAGACCAACACTGTGTACTAACTGTCTGACCAGTAGGAGATTATGAACCTTTGAACAATGTTCAGTACATCGGGAAGACGTTTAACGACATCTTCCCAATTCGTTAGCACTACATTACCCGTGTGGGCACCAGGGTGGTAGACAACAACCATCCAGGGAGGTGCTGCGGTCCTGTCAAATGAGTGTCAAAGAGTAACTCACCCAAGCTAAATTGTCTCCTCTACCTACCTCCCTCAATTACAAAATTTCATTCGATCCATTTCACCTTTGTTTTCGTAAACAAAGAAGCAATATGCTTGCTGTGTATGACATTTGATTTAGAAAACATTTCATCCACCAGGAACTTCACCAATTTATAAAGTTCCTGGTAAACGAAACATTTTCTCCATGAAAAGTAAAAAGTTGTGGTTAAAGACACACGAGCAAACATTTAGGGCATTTTATTATAGCAACATTTCGGTCCTGGAAACCGAACACGGTCCCAAAACCGAAACTTTTCCATAATCTAAGAAAAAGTTCTTTATGTTTGTTTATGTGGCTTCACAACTTGCAGGGATTACATAAAAATTTTTTACACCAGAATACCATTAATTGCATACGAATATTGTTTCTTGTTTACATGTTTTCGGTATATATTTTACCACTTATACATATCACTTGTATTTTGTATTCATTTACTGAAATATTCTGTACTTCCCTATACTAGTCAGTAGATAGCAAATGTACGTAGTAACGTAGAATGAATAATATAATTTACAGAATGTCTGGGTTTTAATCTGTGATATCCCTGCTGTATTATACATGAATTTATTGTGAGAAAATACCACAATGAAATAGGAAATAAAACCTGAGCTCTTTTATGTGCTTAAACACAGGTTTTATTTCTTATTTAACTTTTTTTTTTCATATTTACAATCACGCGTTTTATTGCGATTTCTTCCATGAATCTACTGTGTTGAAAAGATTCATACAGAATTTACTCATACATTCATTTATACTGTTAAACTATTAGAAATTCCTAAAATATCCATTCACAGGGGGTAAATTCAACTTTAAAACAGAATATTTACCAGTGGTCTGTCACTGGAATTGTAGGCTAGTGAGAGTAGTGAGACTGCCAACTAGCATCACTGAAATTACCACACAGAGTTGCTTAAAATAATCGTGAGTGAGAATCGATGGACTGAGTATTCGTGCCTAGCATGGGCCAGGAGGACTACTGCAAGCGGACACGGCGGTTATATACTAGTTTCTATAAGAAATTCTTCAAGTCTATATCACTGATCCTGTACTAAACAAAGTATAACACTTAAGTTGTACAATGTATTAGAACATTTATTAATGAGACGATTGGAGGGCAAAACGTTTCCTTATAGCTAATACCACTTTGGTGTCTTACATGATGACGCTCACTTTTAAAAGTCTACTTTATGTTATGTTTAGTTTTCTTAGAGATTTCTTCTTGTCTTAATAATTGCACAAATTATATAAAAGTGCGACAGTCTAATAGAAACACTTTTTAAAAATTTCTATTGAATATTTTTCCTATTATCGAGGGGAAGCCACTGGAAAGTCTGCCTGAATACACTGCAACTTAAATAGAGATTCCCTGGTTGTGAATGACATGTGTAACAAAACTGTTTCAACAAAGCTTATTAAACCGTCAATGAACTAAAAATACTTCCTCTAATTAATACAAAAAGAATGACACAACAGAGAGGAGAAAAGGCAGAATGGCGAGCATAAATAGCATAATAGAGAGGTTAGGCCGTTCATAAGTCATGGCTTAAAGCTATAATGGGAAGCTAAATACCGCCCATACATCACCCTTTCGGATATAGAGGTACATTATGGAATGAAACGGAATGAAACTCCGATACGATGGGAAAGATACACAAACAACGGAACGAGTGGTATTTGAACTTAGGGCGAGTGTGTTATAAAAATCAAGCCAGTGGTTTACTTACAGAGTGTCCTGGGGTTGTACGACTCACTCACTATGGGTTCAAGTCCTAGCCGTTCCGTGGTTTGTTTCGCAAAACCAATGTATCTTGGTACTTGAGGAAGTCTTCTACAAATTCTTTGTTAAAGAGTTTAGCATGACCTGCTTCCACTCGTTGCCTATGACGTCAACTCCTGCTGCTTCATCTCACCTCTGCTCTAGTATACAAAGTCCGGCCACCTGCCTAGACGGGTCACCACTTGGAAAAGAGCCGGGCCAGGACCTGTTCTTGCGAATCTACCCATACCTGTACCTGCCTTGACGGGTCATCGCAAGACTAAGACTCGTACCAGGACACCTGTCCTGGAGAACATTAAACAACCATTTGTACTTTAAGCTTGAGTGTGACCACCTCCAACCGAGAGTGACGGACTGACCACGTCGATACTACTTCTGCTACTTCCAGAGCTACATTCATTTGTCTCCGACTGAGGAAATCTGTTGTATAGGTGAAACATTTTGGCAATAAAGACTCCCAGGTGCTGCATATGTGACTTATTTATCAACACACACACACTCACACACACACACACACACACACACACACACACACACACACACACACACACACACACACACACACACACACACACACACACACACACACACACACACACAAAGCACTAAAGTGCAAATAATTAGTCTCACGATAAGTTCCAATTAAGGTCATATTTTAATAATATCGGGATTAGCGGATCACCTTGAGGAACAAGGGACTTCGGTGACTCGAGCACTGACTCCTGCATGGTAACTCTTGTCTTAGACACCAAGTAGTATCATATAACAGACTGGTGGAAGTCCATTATATATGTCTTGACTGTTAGAAGACCTTCATCACAGTGCTTCACAGAATACTAATACACATACACACACACACACACACACACACACACACACACACACACACAACACACACAAACACACACACAACACACACACACACACACCACACATACACACACACACACATACACCACACACACACACACACACACACACACACACACACACACACACACACACACACACAAACACACACACACACACACACACACACACCACACATACACACACACACGCACACACCACAACACACACATACACACACACACACACACACACAACACACACACACACACACACACACACACACACACACACACACACACACACACACACACACACACACACACACACACACACACACACACACACACACACACACACACACACACACACACACACACACACACACACCACACATACACACACACACTACACACACACACACACACACACACACACACACCACACACACACACACACACACCAACACACCCACACACACACGCACTCACACACACACACTCACACACATACATACTCACACACACAGGTGGTAATGCTTTATTTACACTAAGCAAAGGCCAGATTGGTTTGTAATATACCACGTGGATAAAATACATATATTAAACATTTCAGGATAAGTTGTTTCTAAATTCATTAATTTCATCGCATTACAGTACACAACAACGCAATTGTCCACCTGGCAAAGTTTACATTTCGTTTGGTCTACATGCGGTGGTGGTGATTCAACCTCCCAAAGATACTTGGATCCCAGCCGGAGCCGGGCGGTAGTGACATGCACGAGTCTGCTAATGTGCCTCCTCCTGCATGATAGAAAGATGACTGGTGGACTGACTTGTGTCAGTCTCCTTCAGTCTTAAGTCAATATAGTTCAGTTGAAGTTCTTTTCGTATTATTGTTCTCAAACTGTTAACTGAGTAGCCAAGATTATAATCTACTCCATCTACGAAGGTTTATAACTTAGCCAGTTCATCAGTTTTATCATGCATCTGAAGACCAATGTGAGATGGAATCCACAGAAGGTGCATTCCAACTCCACAATCCTACCACACCTGTCTGGCTACTTAATGAGTTGAGAGCGTTTATGGATGATAGAGAATCAGCTACAATTAAAGTGTCAGCCTTAGATACATGGATTCATGGGAGAGCAATGAGTATGAAAAACATTTCTGTTTAAAGAGTAGAGTTATTGATGCATGGGCTAGTAAGCCTGCTGCAGTTATATTGATATGTGGGAGTTTTGGCAAAAAACACAGGCGTTCTTCTGATCATTCATTCTGTTGGCGTATTGGTGTTCTTTTTGTGACTTTATAACGCCCACTGTGTGGAAGAAACGTCGTCAATAAAGGATCGCACTTTTCTGCATTTATCTCTTTATTCAAGGTTCATTATACCGAGAGGTAGTATAAAAAATACAGTCAATTTAGGACACGGTTAATTGAAACGTCTTGGTTCTGAGACCTGGTTATTCCAAATGGTGTGAGTAATGTCCCAGGAATGTATCTTTACCATTAAACATACTCTAAAGTGATTGCATTTTCTCTTTCATTTCCCTCTTATTGACAGCCCGTGTGAGGTACACACGCCCTAGATACGACCCAGCTGGTGAAGGAAAGTGATTGACGGTGTAGGTCAGAAGGAGATGCTTAGAAGTTTTTTTTTTTATATTTTATTTAAAACTCAGGTACAAAAAATATATGGGTACATAATCAATATGTAACAAGATACAGGCAGTAAAACGATAATCTGCAGTGACTACACAAATACCAAAGAAGCACTTATATAATGACATCAGAATTGGCTGCTGCACTCCAATCAAACACTACTTTTATGTACTGTGCTTCACGTGAAAAGATGGTCTTATAATAAAAACGATAGTCCTACCTAGTAATGCTTACACTCCCCCCCCCCTTGAAAAACATACCACTTTCACCTGAGTATACTCATTGACATCCCCTTATCATTTATTAGAGCATTAAGGACTTTATTGACAACATGTATAAACACAATCCAGCCATCTAAAAAGCTGACTATAATACAAGAAAAATCTGAACATGATGGCACACATCCCCCAAAGAAACCAATCCACACCCTAACCCTCATATACCCCATGATAACAATCAATATCGTGCACGGTGGTGGATTTAATACACTACCGCTGAGTCTTCACCCCCCCCACATGCCTAGTAACTGTGTCTGCCGTCACCACTCATAACCTCCATCAGTCATTGATTTTAAAAATACATTAAAGTACAATAACATAAAGGAATATGAGAACCCCTTATCGTCTCCGCCACAGAAAAATAAAATTGTTACATTTTCTAAATACATACTGCTGATTCATCTTTGTGCTTACAAAATATCCCCCATCCCCTATGCATGCTTAGAAGTAACCACAGTCCTCCTCACCAACACTATCAGATAAAACACTGCTATGTACACACTGTCCAACCCATCACTCATGTTATAATTATGCATAATAAAAATGAAAATGCTCACTACGGGTGACCTGACCTGCTTCACCTAACCTGATCTGATTCTGTGAGCTTTGGTAGGCAGGTTCGTGGATTAGCTCTTCACTGGAGAAACCTCCATCTACAATGAAATATCATTAAATATAATGTTTTTCCTTTCATGTGTGTTTGATGTAACACAGAAGCTGGAGAAGTTCCAGAAGTCAGACTGCTGTCAAAGTGAAGTATCAGCGAAGATCACTACTAATATGATAGAGGCATTGACACAGTCAATATAAAGATTATTATTATTAGACTCCAGGTAGGTAGGGAAACTCTAAATACTTATAAGTATCACACAGCGCTCTGGGAAATGGGAAGTAGTCTGGGTTGGTCTAAAGAAGACAA